ACTTTAATAATACTTTAATAAATTACTTTAATCCAGTTATAGGAAGGCACTCAGAAAATGTGACAATATGGAAGCCAAACTTGGAAGAGGGCAGTTAAGAAGCAATGGAAAGGTAGCATGTCCATGCATGCAGAATGGTTAAGGGGAAGCAGGATGGCGGGATTCTCTTTAATCTCAGCCTCAAGGAGTTTATCCTGCCATTTTTGCGGTCTAGAAAAAGTAGAAGGCAGGTAAGATATTTAGAGAGCCAGGTAAGTTAGTCACAAGAAGGCTAATGGGAATTTAAAGCAAAAACCAGTAAAGAGAAATGGGGTAGTAGCCAGAGGAGACACATGCATCCGTTGTTGATTTCTTTCAAATCTGGGTGATGTGCACATGCTGAGGGGCTGCAGGAATCCCATCCATGGAAAGTCAATCTTAACTGTGAGAACAGGCACTAAAAGAGAAAGGGAGGGAGATAGGATATTTGTTGTTCGGAGATAGTTCTAAAATAAAGGAGAGCACACCTACCAGGATAGGCTAACCACTGTAACAAATAGCCACAATATTTTCTGGTGGTTTGACCCATTAAGATTTATTTCTTCCTCACGTCACAGTCCAAAGCAGGTTGTTTAAGAGGGGAAATCGTTCCTACACAGTCATTCAAGAACCCCAATCTCCTTCAATCTAGTGGCTCTTCTATCTTTTAGAGCCTTGGAGTTCTACCATGGACCCTACACATATGGCAAATGGGAAAAGAAAGGGCATGGAAGATCATGTTAATGGTTTCCGTTTCAGAGGCCAAGCCTGGCAGTGGCTTACTAAACTCCTACTCACATTCCATGGGCCAGACTCAGTCATAGGGTGCCTATCTAACAGCACGTCAGGCGGGGACATATAATTTAGCTGTGTGCCCAGAAGGAAAGGACATGGGGTTGGTGAAGCCATAGCACCGTCTCTGCCCCAGACGGGTACAGAGTGTGCTCTAGCAGAGATCAGGGTGGGTATGCTGACCGCCTAAGGCAGTCAAGGACAGGGAAAGGGACACTCGTTAATGACTAAATGATGAAGGAAGGCATGTGATAAAACAGGCAGTTCTGAACAGCACTGGTGTATGTCTGAAATACATTTTGCTTAAAATTGTTGAATCAAAGAACCATAGGTTCAGATAGTAAAACTATAAAACATAAAATCATAAAGCTATTACAGGTGAAAGTAATCTGGATTCATCCATTGATTTGTTCTGTATGGATTTAACAAATATGTATTTGGTGCCTGCTATATGCCAGGTATTGCACTTGTAGGAGGAGATATAATGAGCAAACTGGACATGGATTCCTAACCTTGTTTATCTTAAAACCTGGAGGGAATACAGAAGATAAAATATGAAATTTCAATAGAACGTTATTATTTACCCTACCTCTAATTTTGTTGCAATCACAACAAGAAATGAGAGCCCTCTTACATTTACACATGCAAAGAGAAGCAGACATTTTTGTCTCTTGAGAGGCTACAGTCTTTCTGAGTCATACAAATCCCCTGCTAACTAAAGGAAAGTTTTCTTCCAGAAATTTCTGTAGGTTTTTGAAGTGTAAAAAAAAATAAGTCATACGATTAAAAGAAGAAAAACATTTTTAGCAAGAATGATGAAAAATAGTTGACAGAGAATGAACATTCCTTCTGAACCCCAACTTCACGGCCAATTTTAAAGGATGACAGTTTGAGCCAAGGACCTGGTCAGTAAAATCTGAGAGCAAGTCTTTCAGATGGTGCTAAAGAAGGAACCAAGAGGAAAAGAAGGAAGACAATACACAGATGACACCAAGAGAAAAGGTAGCATACACATAATTGACTCCTCATCAGCCTTCCCAGACTATTTTCCATACACATTCCTCACACCATGAAACATTCATTTAAAAACAATTCAAGGTACTGTGGGACACAGGACATGGTCGGCTCCAGGGCTCACACAGAGAAATCTGCACAGAGCTTTACTAATTAGTCTCGGGATAGACAGGGCTCTCACCACCTTAAGACAGAAGCAGGCCCACACCCCAGCCAGGGACAGTCTTGGACACCTCATCTAGAGCTACCTTTTGCCTGGGGCAAAGGAGAGACAGAACTGGACAGTTGTCATAACAAGTAGGACTTGGGACCCTCCCGCCTCTCCCACCAATGGTAACAATAGTAGGTAGCACTGGTTCAAAGCTCACTGTGTGCCAGGCATTGTGTTTCCACCCCTGAGCTCACAAGTCAATGAGATAGACACTATTTTATCCACATTTTTCAGATACAGAAACTGATGGCCAGGAAAGTTAAGTAACTTACTCAAAGTTACCCAGATCAAAAATGTTGAAGTAGAATTCAGATCAGTTGGCTTCCAGAGTTTGTGCTTTTGATGACTTTATTTCCTCAGTGTGAAAGCAGGCAGGATGGGGTGAAAAATAACAGGCAAATAAAACAATTACCAAACAATATCTTGTGATGAAAAGAAAAGTTAGGTTTTCTAACATCGGCATCCTTCGAGTTGACTGGCCTGTTTCTTACTTTATTATCTTGGTAATTGCCAGAAGACTACAAAGAGTAGATGTATTTTGGTTAGTTTACTTTTAGGTCCTTTCCCAGGCCTCAGAACCAATGTGTTCTCTTCCTTATAGCTCAAGGCGGGGTGGGGGGTGGTTCTCAGGGCGTTTATTCTCCCTTGAGATTACTAAAGCAGTAAGCATTTTCTCCTGGCCGGGGGGATGGAATGGAAAGGAGATTCAAAAGTTGCATATTGATATTTTAAACTTTTGGCACCTTTCTCCCAGCCCTGACAATGTTTTATGTTAATTATCCTTTAGAATGTTGGGAAACTAAGCAAAGGACAGCCTGCTTCCTCTGTAATCTGGAGCAGGATGGCAACAGAACAGGTAGGACAGGACACAGCATTGCAAACAGATACCTTGTAAATGTTTGTGCACGAGGTTTGATCTTGGGACAGATAGAGGATTAAAAAGAAGAAGAAGGTTATTCAATGTCAAGTGCTGAGCTGCTTTCAGTGCGTCCCTCTCAGACACCAGTAATGAACTCTTCAGATCCTCGCTGCTAGAGATCCCTGAAGTCCAGTTTATAACCAGACCAATAACTCATTTCTTGATCTCTGGAGTCACTTGTTCAATTCTCTTGACTTCAGGGCCAAAATGAGTTGTTTATTATTTACAACAAGTATAAAAAAGGTCATCACAACCTGTGGTCAGTTCTAAGGTTGGCAACTTGCATTCTCATAACTTGCACATGGTCAATGGCCAAATTTCTGAAAAGATTTCTGTACATGAAGTTTATACAGATGGTCATTTTAAAACCATTTTTTTCTAGCAATTCTTACTAAGCATTTAATTTGATAAATCACTGTATTTGGAAGCTGTGGGATATATAGAGACCTTCAGAAAGCAAACGAACTGGAGACTTTGCAATTTGAAAATATTTAGGCAGAATCATCTACCCCAAAAATAAGGGTTTCACAATATGCATCAATCCTCATGTAACCTTGGGCCAACCAGCTAACTTCTCTGGGACACTAGTTTTCTCACCTTATGAAACACCATTTTATTCATTCAACAAACAGTATAGCCTGGTTAAAGACAGCCCTAGAGCCATAGACCCTGGAGAGATCGCTGGCACTGGTATTGGGGCCTCAGTTTCCTCATTTATTGGAATGGGGATATTCGTGAAGCCCCTCCAGAGGCAGGAAGATTAACTCATTCACTTAAACCTCTTAGCATAGTGCCTGGCCGCTTGTAAGTGGTCAACACATGTCGACTGTTTTCATTTTTATTACTGCTGATGAAGCCTGTTGTGCACCCAGCGCTGTGAAAGAGACCCAGAATACAAAGTGGTGTGGAGCACAAGCCAATCCTCAAGGCGTTCACTTTGTAAAGAGGGAGAAAGTCAACAGAGTATTCTAATAAAATGGGGTCAGAGCTCTGAGTTTGTACCAGCCCTTAGAAGGGCCCAGTAATAAAGGGGACGTACCCAAGGCTCCCTGGGGAAAGCGAGTAGGCCTCACAGACCAGCTGCTGGAGCCCAGGCTTGAAAGCAGAGCCGGGGGTCTAAGAATTCTTTAAGGCTTAATGTTAGAAGCTTTTTAAATTGTTGCTCTTGAATTTCACACGTATGAAAGTCATCTTTCGGCTTCCAATATCCAGAGCACATTCGTTCATTAACTTTTCATGCAGAAATGCAGTCATTAATTAGTGTGGCACATGCTTCTCCCACAAAACCAAACAAAAATCCCTTAGCAAAGGCTGTTCCAGGGCTTGGAAAACACTATGATGTCCTATTGTCAGCATTTGTGATGCCCTCCTTTCATAGACAGAAAATTGGAGGCTAAAACCATAGGTCCACTAAGCGAAAAGGCTGGGCAAGGCTCAGACTTTTCAGTAGCTGTTGCCACTGCGATCGTTTTAAACCGGGCACCAGCACTGGGTCAGCAGTTTCAGACACCGTCAGAGAGGAGCCCAACGTCGCAAGCGCATTTTCAAAGGCGTCCGTACCCCGCAGGAAAAGGTCTGTGGCTGGAGGACCAGCCCAGGGGCCGTCGGGAACCGAAGCTCCCGGGGCCCCAGAAGGGTCCCAGGTCCCCGCCTCCGACGATGTCACTCCTGTCCCCGGGCCGCCCGCAGTGGCTGGGATGCTCTGGGGTTTCTTCTCCACCCTCAAACTCAGCTTCATTGCTGGAGCGTGTACCCCCTGAACACAGAATACAGGCAGAAGGCGCTCTCAGCTACGAGCTGCGGGGAGGAGCCGGCGGGCGCCGTGCAGAAACGCCGCGCCCCGGCGCGCTCCCGGCCGGCGCTCACACCTCCGCTCCCGGGGGCGGCGCGCGGCCGGGTGCGCGGGGGCAGGGCGGGGCGGGGCGGAGCGCGCGCTGGAGACCCGCCCCCGCTCCCCTCCCCCTCTGGCGGAGATTGACGGGGCCTGGGCACGCGTCCCAACCAATGAGCGCGTCCCGGGGCGGGCCCTGGAACCCGCTGCTCCGGCTACTTAGAGTCTCAGGCTGGGCTGTGGGAAACCAGGAGCGAGTCGGGACTGCCCAGGTGGAGCCGAAGCCCCAGCCAGCGCGGACCCGCAGGCGCACGGGCACCGCGCCAGGCACCGCACCGCACCGCACCGCACCGTTCCGCGCGGGGCAGAGTGGAGCCGCAGCCCCCCGCGCCGCCCAGGACCCACTCGCCACTACCGCCTCCGCAGCACCCATGGGGACCAGGAGACTTTAAAGGAGTTTGGGGTTTCGAGAGCAGGGAAATCACGGGTACGGAGAGGCGGCTTTCTTTGCCCTGGAAACGTTTTGTCTTCGTCTGATTGTTTGGACCCTGTGCCGGGTAGGAGGGAGAGGGGTGTTTTGGTTGAAAGTGGACCTCCCTACACAACCCACACCGGCACACATACACCGCACTGACTTCCCCCATCCTTCCCTTGCCTCTTTGTTAGATTATTTCAGACAGAGCAACCTCGCCCTGGCGCAGCCTGATCGGCTCTCCGGGGGAGAAGGCAAGAGAAGTAAAGAGCAGAGTGCACCTGCCTGCGTGGGCAGGTGTGCCCGGGTGCGTGGGTGTACGTGCACTAGCGAGCGTGCAAGCATGGACTGGAATTGTGTACGAATGTGGGAGTCTGAGTGTGTCGTCGCGAAGGTTTGTCATTGTGTCTGTATGTGACATTACCACACCAGTGTACCCGCCTGTCAGTGTCTGGACTCCAAGTGTGCAAAATTTTGCTGGTGTCAAGTGAGTGCCTGCGAATGTGTCCGATTGTCATTGTACAAGGCACTGTCAGGGAAGCAGTGCGACCTAGTGCAAAACTGAGAGGTGGGAGAAGGTGGGGACAGAAATGTGAGGACAGCTTGCTCCGAGCTCTGGGGCCTTGGGCGCCCCTTCTCCCTTCCAACCTACCCCTCTGCCCTTTCCTAAGTGTCCGTCTCCCACGCTGCCACAACCCGCTCTGTCCTCCCACTGGGACCCCGTACGCCCTTCAGCCTGGCTGCCTTTTCTCTTGTGGGAGTTGGACCGGGTTCTCGGACGGGGTCCGAGGCTGCGTGGTGGCGCCTGATCCTGGTTTCTTTGCCCAGCCTGCCCCTGGGGATGCACGGGAGGCTTGGCTGGCGCTAGTCACTCCAGTATGGGCGCGTGGGCGGGCGGGCAGGTCCCAGGGGCACTGCACGTCCTCGGGAGGCGCAGCCCGACTCTGATGCTGTCTCTGCCTCTCGACTGTGCTTCCGCAGATCCCAGCTCCTGGCCCTCACCTCGCCGCGTCATTGATGGGCAACCAACTGGACCGCATCACCCACCTCAACTACAGCGAGTTGCCCACAGGGGACCCGTCGGGGATCGAGAAGGACGAACTACGGGTCGGGGTCGCCTACTTCTTCTCGGATGAGGAGGAGGACCTGGACGAACGCGGCCAGCCCGACAAATTTGGCGTGAAGGCCCCCCCGGGCTGCAGTCCCTGCCCAGAGAGCCCCAGCCGCCACCACCACCACCACCACCTGCTGCACCAGCTGGTCCTCAACGAAACTCAGTTCTCCGCCTTTCGGGGCCAGGAATGCATCTTTTCCAAAGTGAGCGGCGGCCCTCAGGGCGCCGACCTGAGCGTCTACGCGGTCAGCGCGCTGCCCGCGCTCTGCGAGCCCGGCGACCTGCTGGAGCTGCTGTGGCTGCAGCCCGCGCCGGAGCCGCCCGCGCCCGCCCGGCACTGGGCCGTCTACGTGGGCGGTGGGCAGATCATCCACCTGCACCAAGGCGAGATTCGCCAGGACAGCCTGTACGAGGCGGGCGCGGCAAACGTGGGCCGGGTGGTGAATAGCTGGTACCGCTACCGCCCGCTGGTGGCCGAGCTGGTGGTGCAGAACGCCTGCGGCCACCTGGGCCTCAAGAGCGAGGAGATCTGCTGGACGAACTCGGAGAGCTTCGCCGCCTGGTGCCGCTTTGGAAAGCGGGAGTTCAAGGCGGGAGGGGAGGTGCCGGCCGGCACGCAGCCCCCGCAGCAGCAGTACTATCTCAAGGTGCACCTGGCTGAGAACAAGGTGCACACAGCCAGGTTTCACAGCCTGGAAGACCTCATCCGCGAGAAGCGCCGGATCGACGCCACCGGCAGCCTGCGAGTGCTCCAGGAGCTCACCGACCTCGTGGACGACAAGGAGTAGTCTCGAGGGGGGCCTCCTGCCCCTCCTGTCTTCCCGCGCCCCGCTCCCTTCCCCGCACCCGGGCTTCCGGCCGGCGACTCACGAGCCCTGTCCCCGTCCGCCACGGGCGGCCGGTGCCCAGGCTGCGCCCTCGCACCCCTCCAGCAAGTGGCAGGAAGTCTCAGGAACTGGCCCCGGGACGGAAAGGGCAGCTGTGCGCGCCTGGCCGAGACTCCCCGTAGTGGTGATGGTGTTGGGAAGCACAGCGTGCGGTTTTCCCTTTAGTTTAAGGGGAAAACGGAGAATAGGCTGAGGGGAGCAGGGACGTGGCCTCCCCCGAGAGTCACCGGTGAGTGACTATCACCCGATCTACTAGAAAGGGACCATCACCTCCCCAAACGCACGCAGACAGACCGGTCGGAGGTCAGAATTGATCTTTTCAGGGCACAGTTCACCTCCTGTATGGATGTGTCCCAAGATTGCAGGATTTCCAAGAAATCCAGCCTGTCCCTGATGCACTTGTGAATAATTCCACAAGCAAGCACTTCGGGACTCTGAGTTATCCCGAGCCTGCCCGGGACTTTTCCAGCTCTCCAGCCCCGATCTCCTGACATTGTATTCCAGGCTCCTGGCTAAGCTAGTTAGTGTTTGCTTCCTATTCTTTCCATCGAGGGAAGCGAACGCCACCCCCCACCCGCATTTGCCTCTGAGCCTCCCTCGCTGGCAGGAGGGAAGCCTTCCCGGTCCCGGGAGGAAAATGGCGCAGCTACTTTGGCTAGGAGAGCCGGCCCCGCCCCCGGCAAGCAGAAGGTTCGCCCGGTGTCTGGGAATTTGAATTTGTGGAGAAAGGCGCTTGTTGTTCTTAACCCTAGATTGCTTCCCTCTTTGGGCTGCATTTCCAAAATAGTCCTATTTTTAAAGGGGTTGGCAGGAGAGGGAGGGGGAAGACATGGCAACATTCCAGAAACCAGCATTATTAACAACACCATAGCCAGTATATTTAGTTTAGCTCTTCCTAACATAGAAATCTTAAAAGGTGGGGGAAGTGGAAATAAAGTTTTAAAAATGAGAGAGCAGTTTTCCAACTATGTCAACAAAGCCTATCGTGTTGATGTTTTTATTGACCATTTTAGCAACATGCTAATAAAATTTCAAATTGAAATTTTTATTTTCATGGCTTTAATCCATGATGGTTTAAATACTGGGGGCCATTAAGAGTGGATTTAGCTAAGAGCTTAGCTAACATTGCCTTTTTGCTCTATTTTTCTCAAATCTTAGGAGACTTCTGTTTTTGAATATTGTAGTTAATTTTTTGGCTTGAAATGGCAGCCCTAGTAATGGTGGAGTTGTTAATCAATGTGTATATTGTACTGAATTTCTGTCATTTAATGGGTTTACTGCTTTGGTGGAAATTGCTAGCAGGTTCCATGATGTTTCTTTTCTCCATGTTGTATACCATTACACTCCTCATTTGCATTTCTATTTTTCTTCCTCTCCTCTTGATCTCCTTAAAAAAGAATCAAGAGTTGGTGGCTTTCCCCTCCTCTTTAGCCAGTCCCACAACTCTTTCCTGAAAACCAGAAAGGACTTTAGACAAACCCGTGTTTTTCAAAAAATTAAGGCTGTTTGGAACCCCTTCCCTGGGCAAGGATTTACCAACTTCTCTCCCTGTGCAGCAGCCCCAACCTGACTGACTGTTACTTGATTCAGTGTGTGTTAGACACCTACAGCATCTGTGTCCCCTCCAAGGGAATTTGTCGAATAATGGTGTTTAGCTAATTGTTGAAGCAATTGCATACTGACAGCTGTGATTTAGTTGGACAGCAAATATTATGGCCAAAGCCAGTTTCTTGGCATTTCAAAAATAATGCAATAAAAACTAGTCGAGGTTAGCTGAGACTGGAAATGCCTTTTTCATGGTAAATGATTCATTTCTGTTTTGTTATTTTGATTTTCATGCTGGATTCATTCTCTGATCTTGAATCAAAAGGTCGGATCAATGAAATATGAACTAGAGTATTTTTCTTAAGCCTATTGAGTGATTTATTTTTTAAAAAATGTTTAAATGCATATGCTTTTCTTTCAGCACATACAATGGCAAAACTTTTGTAATAACTCACTTACCTTTGCATGCGTGGAGAACTGAAAGTCATTTATTTCCCTAACTTAGTCCTCTTTCAGATAACAGATGGCAGGTCATAAACTGAAATTCTTGATTGTATCTACACACTCCAGATCCTGCCCTGTGTCCTCCTGCTGTATCTTGGCTCTCTGCTGTATTAAACAACATCCTAAGCACTTGTTCCCACGGGACTCCTTCTTGACGTTTTGTCTTCCACCTGTCACTCAGAGGGTGGGACTTCAGCAAAAGAAATGAATCAGTCTATCATACCTAATACTAAGATTTATTTCCTCTGATGGCACATAATCTGATTTTTTTCTTACTAAGAGGGTCACTATAACAGAGGAATGGCTTATCAGCTTTATACTTGCCAAGACTAGACTGTCAATAAAAATACGAGTTTGGCAGCGAAAGTAGCGTTCATTACTATGTTGGCCTATAAAGGATTAGGTTGATGATAATACTTCTACAAACTCACAGGAATAAAACAGTGGTTACAAAGGAAACTTGGAAAGTTTGTAAGGTTTCTTATATTCCTGTTGAAATAATCATTTATTATCTGTTGATCAATGCTAATAATAACCAGTGGCAGAAAACTTCTAATCATACCTTTATTCTGAAAAATGTGTATATTTCTAGGGTATTATGAACAATTTGAGTGAAAACCAAGCAGATGGATGTTCCCTTTGAAGATGGCATGGGCACACTTGATTTTTATTATGAGTGAATATAATATCTCTGGATTTTATCCGAGTTATAGAAATTAAGCCAAAAGGCTCTTAGCATTTTACTAGAGGTCAGGAATTTAGTTTTGGTTTTAGTATCCTCAAGAGAATGGAGTTTCATAGTAGCTTTCATGATAGTGAGTGTGGCTAAGTTGGAGGCTGGTTCTTTCCTCTATTCCAGATAGAGGAAAACTACTCTTACTCCTCCATTCTTGTTCCACTTTCAGAGGGAGATTCTGAAAAGCAAACTATTTAAAAAAAAAAAAAAAAAAGGGTGAATATTTTTACTCCAAGGAGTGCTTCGCTACGCATTTTGTTGTTTAAAAAACCCCAAAAACTGGGGAGAAAGAAGGCTGGGCGTACATTAAACAAAATCAGCCCAGAAACACTGTTATTCCCAAAGTGTATTCCTTTATTAAGAAAAAAAAAATCCTGTGGAAGTTACATGTATTGCACTTATTTGTAAAAGAAAATTAAAAGTATATCAATGAGCCAAATAGATAGATATATCAAGTTCCTCAATATTGAAAAAATTTTAATCCTTGTCATGACTGCCATTTTATTAAATGAAAGGGTAATATATATTCGCTTGTAGTTAGAAAACACTTGTGCCAGATTAGAACATCAAATGCAATGATGTTACATGATTTTAGTAGATTTTCAAAATTTTGATGATTTTTTCTCTCTTGGGTCGTGTTTCTTTGGTAAATACTTTTGTTTGAATAATGATTTCTTTTTTCAGAAAAGCATGCTATTGGTGTTTACAAAATATCGAATTACCTGAATAATCAGTATCCTAACAGCCTTCAAACATTACTTTATTGATTAATTATGTTTTGTGTGTGCTTTCAACATTCCTAAGAATCCAATGTCTTAGTCATCTAATAAATGGAGTAGGGTCAACTTTCAGTGAAATTAATACTAATTGCACAAACATAATTGAGCAACCTAATTTCCTTTTGTCCAAATGCATATCTTCAAAGCTTTCTGCTTTCTCTTTTTTAAACAAATGGAGAGAATCTAGTTAGGTCTGCCTTTCAGAGATGATTTGCCACATGCGTAAAGGGTCTGCAGGTGAAAATTACAGGCTTTCAGGCTTCTTGAAACGTTAAGAACTGTGTTTAGACAATGGTTTAGACAATGGTCTGAGACCCACCTTGATATTTTTTTGTTGACAATTACTAGCTATTGGCAGTATATATATATGTATGTATACTGTATATATACAGTATACATACATACACATACATATGTGTACATATATATCATTTCTACCTAGAGGTAGAAATTGTGATTTCATTCAGAGAGATATACAGATATAGACATGCATACATACAGATTATTTAAAAACAAATTAGAGAGTGACTTGAGACCTACAAAAACAGGAGGAAAAGTTCTAGGGGTTAAAATAGGGAATGAGTATCCAGGACAGCAAAGCAGCTACACCTCAAACTAAGCATAAACAAAAAGAAGAAAATGTGGGCGGTGCAGTCAGTTTTAGTCTCACCTTTAGAAGAATACGTTCCTTGTTTCTCTAACTAAAGAGACATATGATTCAAAAGGAAAGCTGCAAAGATTAAGAAGTAATTGAAAAATAAGATGCAAGATGAAGTGGGGAGGTTATGAGATGATAAAATAAGCTAATAAGCTTTGCAACGGGATACCTATTCTCTATTCTAACTGAGACGATAAAGCTGAGATCCTGTTTTCCAACCATTTAATGATTTATAAAATCTCCTTGATTTCATAACTCATTGGTTGTGTGTTTACCTGATTTGAACTTGAGATATGAGCTTTAAGTATTTGAATATGTTGGGGAAAGGGGAAATTGTCTCCTCTGCCGTTGTTGCTGAGGGTGAGTTTTGTCATTACTGCCTTCACTGGCAGCAGCTAGGTGACAGGTTCCCCTTGCTGTGGGCTGAAATCAATCTCTCTGGCTGACAGCACAAGGTATACAGTAGGTGCTCAATAAATACAAGACTCTGGCATCTCTCCACCTTAAATGGTGCTCAGTGATACTTGATCACCAGGAAAACCAGAAACCCCACCACTCAGCTTGGCTATAAAGAGGAAGCTAAATTTCTCTAACTGAAATTGGCAGGGTTTTCCCACCTCAGAAGGCTCATGGAGATACAGTTTATGAGACTTAAGGCCGATTTCAGTTAAAGGGTATTCTGAATATTCTGTTTGCTTCTAGAAAAAAAAAACACTGTCAAAGAATCCAAAGAGAATATGTTCTCTTGTTATTTGAGTGGAAAGAGGAAAGCAAACTAATAATTCTGACTGTAACTTCTCACAACTTCATCTCTCATTTACCTCAAGGAGAGATTTTTCTCACATGAAATCACAAGATTATGGCTTCAGAAGGAAGCTTAATACTGAAGCTCTTGGTAAAAATTTTCTTTGGATATGTAGGGAAAAACCTACTAAAATGTTAGCTTAAAAACTCTCTGGGAAAACTAGATTTGATCGAGTTTGGTCATGGGTGTTTTTCTAAATAAACACTACTTATTTATATACTAAAATATCCAAATAATTGCTGTGCCCATTGGCTTTTATAATCCAATTAATTTTTTTATGTGAACATGAGTTCTGAACTTAATTTTGTCCAAAGCGGAGAGGATGTAAAATATTAGGTACATATAAAGCCAATGTCCTAAATTTTAAGCATAAAATAAAGGCTTTGCAAGTTAATATGAGCTACATTCATTGTTGCAAAAAATAGAAAAAGATCGCATAAGGTTACTGCTTATATGATTCCAAAGGAAATTCTTGCCATCAGTCTGTGATATAGACATTAATGCCACAATGGGAAAGTCCAGGCATTCTTTATTATAATATAGTGATACTTGCATTAACAAGTAAGTTATTATTCTAAATTTAATCATTTTCCCCTCCAATAGTCCTGCAACATGCCAGCTCTTTGCTCAGTGCCAAGCCCATCGTTTTCAGATTTCAGATTCTCCTGGGGTATGAGCAGATCTGGAAGGATCAACTGACAATGATTAGTAGAAACATCTCCCAACTTCCAATAGCACACACTTTATTTCATCCTGCCTCCTGCTTCTCAGTGGAAGTGTCTGCTCAGCAAGGCTCAGGGGTAGGGTTGCCCAGTTGAGTAAATAAAAATACAGGCCACTCAGTTACGTTTGAATTTCAGATAAACAAGGAATAATCGTTTTAGTATAAGTGTATTCCATGCAATATTTGGGACATACTTACATACTTACTGTTTATCTGAAATTCAAACGAAATTGTATGTCCAGTATATTATCTGGCGACCCTATTCAGGAAGGACCTTACTATCTCTAAGAAACCAGAAACCTCTGATTTTTTTTAGAGCTGACAAACTAAGGACACATCCTCTACCCACAGCACGGAAGTCTTATCAGATTGCTCATGTGTCTTCTAAAGCCAAGGCCGAATCTGGCCCCAGAATGAGCACATAGCCCAGGAGAAGGCTCAGAAGGAAGAATTCACAGGCCTACTAGTCAGAGTTGGTTGTGTGTATGTGTGGGTGGGGATGGGTGAGTGTTGCTTGTGTCTCTTTTCTTATACTCTTTTGATTACCTTTTATAGGACATGGCATCCTTTGTCTAGGAGTGTGATGAATACTTTCCCAGATACAATCAAAAACACTCCATGCCCGTGTTTTTAATCCCACCTGCTACTTATCCCAGTCTGGGTCCTCACTTCACACCTGGCTATTCCGTAGCTTCCTCACCTGTCTCCATCCCTCTGGCTTCTCTATTCAAACACCTGCTGCCATAGTGCTCTTTCTAAATACAGACTCATCGCTCACAAGACAAAGGCTAAGCTCCCTATGGCACAGTCAAGGTCCTCCATGGTCTGACCCCTGTCTACAACCAGCTGCATTTCTCTCAGCTCTCAGTTTGTACTCAGGCCACGTGGAGCAGTTTGCAGAGCATGTAGTTTTCATTCATGCTTCCATGACTTCCTACATTGTCCCCTTTACCTGACTGCCATTCTTGATTCCTGAGTGGAAAAGTCTTCTTCATTCATCCTTCATAGTAGCTCCATGCTGCCCACTAGCATGGTTTTAGTAATTTTCATCTGTGTGCTCCTATTGAATTTGTTTATACCTCCCCAGACGCTCCTGCACTATATTATTTACATCTGTCTTCCCCTTGACTGAACTCTATTAGGAAAGGCCCTGTGACTTACTCATTTTTGCAGCTGCAAAGTCTGGCACTTGCAATAGGTGCTCAATTAGAGATGATTGAATGAATGATAGAAGTGGGGAAGGGAAAAGAGTTGGCTCCTCTGTAAGTATGTGAGGCATACGGCCTGTGATCTCTCTCTGAACCAAAACACAATAAGAATGGGCCAGAAGTGCCTATCAACTTACACATGATTCTCTCTAAGAACCATATGGTAGAAAATTAGTTTCTGTTTAGAAAATAAACTGGAATTATACGGAATCCATATTATGCTACAAATGGTAGGAGATTAGCCATACATAGTTTAAAAGGTTTCTCTGCCCTGGCTATACTGGCACAAGCATTTCTTCATGAATGAAGTTTATGAGTTTCATTATGATGAAAATACAGACTTTTCTCCTCTTGGTAATTTAATTTCCACCTAGGTGAGATAGCTTGGAGAGTTGCAAATTTAGAAGGCAGCTGAGGATTGACTTGCAAGAGGTACAAGATAAGACCTTTCCCATATGGGCCACTTCAGTAAATGGGCCTAGATGGCCAGAGATGTTGAGTCAGTGCAGAAAGAGTCTGCTGAAAACCCAAGTCCTGTTCACCTTTTGGAAAGTAAAGTCTCTCCCAATCTTACTACTGAGCAAAGAAACCTATGGCATGTGTGGAAGGGAGAAAAGAATCATCTTGCCTGACATTCCAGCAGGGGGAGCAGAAGAAAACCAGCCTCCTTTGATTGATGACATTTGGACCTCCAGGCTGGTTGAACAGCTAGAATAATTTGAAATAATTTGAAATGCAATTGAGTACTAAAAATGTAACTAGATTAATGTCTTATAAAATATATATGCTTTTATATTTGATATTTCCCCTGGAACCCTTAGGTGGAGCACTGTGTGCTTTCTTTCCCGGGAGTTATTATTCTCTTAGCACCTCTGGACATTTAATATAGTTTAATTTGGTTTGGGTCATGGTTACAGTTGTCTGTACTTGAGAAAAGCCACTTTAATTTGGGATTTTATACCATGATATCCTGTTGAGAAAAAAAGTGTCAAAACTCCAGAATGGAGTACTTCTTTAGAATAAATTACTACTAATTTGGGATTAAAAACCTACGTAAATATGGGTTATGGTAAAACATTGCTTTTGCCCAGAGAGCAATTTCCAGAGGAGACAGCAGATGAGATTTTTCATTATGCAGCCTCACCATTCTGATTTCAGAAATCAGTGCCCCTGTGTGCATCTGCTTTATTTGTGTATAATTTTATGAGACAGGGTCTACACAAGGAAATGGGAGCAGAGGTAGTTACTTCATCCTCTACAGACCAACAAAATAAGTGTTTGACAGCCCAGATCTGTTCTGCCCATGTTTCTTCCTTAAAGCCTTTAAGGGCTTTCCATAACTTACCAGATAAATCCAGACTGCAGGATTTTAGGATTTCAGGCTCTGCTCCATCCTGCCCCATATGCCCCAACTTCTGAAGCTTCATCCTCTGATCCATCACAGTACATTCTCACTACAAGTCTTCTGTACTGACCCACTTACCTCTCTCCAAAAGCTATGTCATTGTATGCCTTTGCTCAAGCTGTTTCATTTGTGTGGAACATTCTTCTTCCCTCCTTGGCTACATGTCGAAATCCTCCTCTTCCTTTAAGACCCAATTTATTTATCAGCTGTTCTGTCAAACTTCTCCTTCTCCTGCAATACCTCCTACTTTAACAATAACAAGGGGCCAAAATAGTCCTTTCTCACTGAGCTCCTGCAGCTCTTTATCCAAACATTTAACATTCACTCCACCCATTTTATATTCTAATTTTCAGCTCCTAAACTATGTCAAACATAATTTGTTTAAGTTAATGGGAACCAGATTGCTTTCTGAAATGGGTTTTAATCTTGAGGCAGGAATCTTGGCATTTTGATCTTTCGTTCCTTAGTAGCTAGTATATGGTCTTATTAGATGCTCAACCAATGCTGCCTTAATTCACTTAACTTAATTCAAAAGCAACTATCCTTCTACAAGAGCAGTGAGTGCTATTTTTAAAAATGCTCTAATGGGGGGCTGGCTCTGTGGCCTAGTGGTTAAGTTCGCGCGCTCCGCTGCAGGCGGCCCAGTGTTTCGTTGGTTCGAATCCTGGGCGCGGACATGGCACTGCTCATCAGACCACGCTGAGGCAGCGTCCCACATGCCACAACTAGAAGAACCCACAACGAAGAATACACAACTATGTACCGGGGGGCTTTGGGGAGAAAAAGGAAAAAATAAAATCTTTAAAAAAAAAAAAATACTCTAATGGGAGTTCAATTCCCTGCATACTTGTTGGGTCCCTATGAAAGGCAAGCCTTTGCTTTAGCTCATGTGGGTACAAATCATGGTCTAGACTTCAAGAACTCGATCTGGTAAAGGAGGCAGCCATACTATGAGCCATAATCCACTCCAGCCTGGAATATAGGTCACTACCAAGACATAAACTTTACAAAAATACTGGAGAGGGTCAAAGGAAGAAGCATTTGGAAGTAGACATCAGCTCCAAGAAATGAAAGTCGTTGACTGGCATAGAAGATCTGAATGATGTTTTAAGA